AAAAGAAGGCAAGGGCCAAAAAATCAAAGAGCCGAGTGAGGGAGGAATCCACCTTCCTTCTCCCAACCATCTTCCTCCATCTTATGTCTTCGCTTCTGTTTTCGATTCCTTCCAGCAACGGAGCAAGGAAAGAGGGGACAGAAGAGATGAGAGAGCGAGACACGGCAGAGAGGAAGACAGAGCGAGAAAGAGAGAGAGAGAGGCGGAAGCGAGACCTCCCTCGTGTTACCCCTGTCATTGAAAGCAGAAGGCGACAAGAAAAGAAACAGAAAAAGGATCAATCAAAGGAAGGAGAGAAGGGAGAGACGAGAGAATGAAGAGTTCACTTCGTCCATCTTCATGCGTATTCCTCTGTCATGACTTCAATTTCTGTGTCTTCTTGACAAACGGCAGAGTGGATAGGCAGGAAGAGGAACGGTGAGAGAAAGAAACAGGACGAGTGATACACAAGACAGATTCTTGATGGTTCCCGGCGCGAGAGGGACGGGAGGACATTGTGATAGACCCTAAAACCAGCACGGAGAACGTCGCCTGGCATGCCCGAGTTGTGAGAGCGTAAAACCATCTAAATCCTCATAAACTCCAAACCTTAGATCTTCCATAGTATACTGACCCCGGTAAACCATAGTTAGGAGCTAAGACCCTAGACCCGTAAACTCCTGTCGAGACCTTTACACTGTACACGCTTCGGCCTCCCGATGTAACCGTCGTGCCAGACCTTGTCGTCGCCGTGCTGAACCCAGTCGTCGTCGTGTTAAACCGAGTCGTCGTCGTCCTTGTCGCCGTGGTGTTGTTGCAGTTTAAGTACAAAGCCCAGCAGGATTGCCAAATAGACCCTAAAGGTCCATGCCACAAAGCCCTAAACCCCTAAACCCTAAACCCCTACACTCCCTGAGCCTGCTGGCACCCCTGTCAGGTTCCCGAGGTGCATGAGGCCATCAGTGCCGGTGCCGTGGAGTGGTTCGTCCAGGCCGGTGCTCTCCGTCTTGGTTTAGCTTAGATCCCCAATACCCAACCTTTAAACTTTTTGGGTTCTTGGAGTTTAGTAGGAATCGGAAATTTTAACCTTTCATTTCCATGGCTTACTGGGTTAGTAAGGTAGGGATGAGACTCCAGGGATGAGGGTTTAGGGTGTAGGGTTCAGGGGTTTAGGGTTCAGGGATGAGGGTTTCGGGTTCAGGGATGAGGGAGTTAGAGAACAAGAGCTTGAGGAGTGTTGGATTTGGGGATCACGGCTTCGCAGTCCTTGGTTTCTGGGTTTAGGGTTTATTGTTTAGGGTTCTGGTCTATTCGATTTAATTCAGTTGAGAGGCCCCCATCATTTGGCTATCTGTTCCCTGGCAGAATTTAAGCCACGAGAAGCAGTCGAACCTGCGGAGGCTGGAGGCGGCGTACTCTCTTCATTCGCCGTGAATAGGCAGGGCAGGGAGCTTCGTAACCTTAAGCCTTAAGGGTCCATGTACTCGTCTAGTATATACTTTGGCCATAAATAAAGTGTTCCCTAACAAGCCTAACAAACGTACTTACTAGCCAAAGTATATACTATTTGGGTGTACCTGGACTATTTGGGCACATGGAGTAAGGTTGAAAAGAGAAGGGTATAAAATGACCCTAAACCCTAAACCCTAAACCGTTGAAAAGAGAAGGGTATAAAATATATGGGACCGGCCGCCCAGTGGCTCCCTTGTATTAGGTTCTTAGCCCAGAGGGGGTCCGAGTATCCAAATAGCAGGGAACCCACTCTCCGAAGGGTTTAGGGTTTAGGGTTTAGGGTTTAGGGTTTGGGGTTTAGGGTTTGGGGTTTAGGGTTTAGGGTTTAGGGTTTGGGGTTTAGGGTTTAGGGTTTAGGGTTTGGGGTTTAGGGTTTGGGGTTTAGAGTTTAGGGTTTAGGGTTTAGGATTTGGGGTTTAGGATTTAGGATTTAGGGTTTAGGGTTTAGGGTTTAGGGTTTCGGAACTTGAAACCCTACTATCTGGGTACTTGGACGCTTAGGGTAGGGTATACGGTGTAGGCTTTAGGATAGTATATTTAAAGTTTACAGAGAGTCGCTTTGCGGGGGCTGGGCTACAGGGCTTGGATATACGACAAAAATACTATGAGGGTATGAGCCTCCAGGCACTTTGACTGTCGTCTAGAAAATCCCAACCCTCGTTGTAATGATTCAGGCCCCTATGTTTTGCGTGCGTGAATGATGAAAAATAAAGGTACAGCCACGCAGGTCGGGGCGGGTTTAGGGCTTAGGGCTTCATGGATTTTCTTGGTTAGAAGAGCTGGATTTAGGGGGCGACGATATTCGCACCAACTTCTCCGAGCAGAGCCTGGTCTCTGAGCCTTAAAGCACTTGCTCCCAGGCACGGCTTTGAAATCTGTGGCGCCCTCGTGGTTACTGCCACAGGCATCTTGATCATCGATTTCATCCTCGCAAGGCATGGTCTGGAAGCTCTGGGGTTGCCCAAACCCAGAGGCTCCAAAGTAGTTCCTTTTCGGGGTTACCTTACAGTAGAAGCCAGAAAGTTGGAATATGATTATCCTAACCCTTCTATGGTAAATTATAGGGTATCCTACCATGAAACCATATTCCAACTTTCTGGAGTTTCCTAAATAGGATTCTAAATATGAACCCCAAAAAGGAACTACTATGGAGCCTATGGGAAAGTAGGAGCCTGAATGTTTCATTGAATACTTCGTAAGGCTACTCCATGGGGCTCCTTCTCCGAATATCAGACAGACTCTCTGCAACGGACTATCTATCTAAAAGTTATCTACCTATCCATCCAACCAGCTATCTAGTTATCTATCTATCGACCTATATGTATTACAAATAGTGTTGCATATATGTATCGCCCACCTACTATTTCGTACTGTCTCTGAATATGCTATGCTACATCTATCGTTCGGCTCGCGGGTGGCAGCCCCTGCCCAAAGGCTCCATGTTCCCATATAGTAGGTACTTAAGCCTCAAAGTAGCCATATAGGGACCCCTTGAAGGCCAAAGTACCTACTATATCGGCACATGGAGCCTTAGGGCTGGTAGCTCGGGTCATCTGCGTGGTTCCGATTGACTGGGAGCTCCTCTCAAAGAGGAAAAGGAGGGACCCTTAATGGGAACCCCTACCCATAATGGGCTATAATGATGGGTATATAAATAGCTATATTAAGGGTATATACCTTCCCCCAAGGGGGGTTTAGGGTTTAGGGCCCTAAACCCTAACCCAGGGCTCCAGCTGTCTAACTAAGGGGTTACTGGTTTACACATGAAATGGTTCGTAACCCACTATTTAGGTATCTGGAGCCCTAGGGTTAAGCAGCTTGCAGAAGCCTGTTGCGGCCAGAAACATCTGAGAACAAAATGCAGACCTAAACCCTAAACCCTAAAACCTAAACCCACTAGTGGGCTCGTGTTAAGGAGCTTAGTTTAAATTACCAGAATTGGGATCATTAGTTCGGCAGATAGAGATCAGACTAACTATTCCCGCTCATTAGTATGTAGTATGCAAGAAGTGAAGGAACAGAAACATCCCCATCCGGATCCGGGCCTAGCAGAATACAACTTCGAAACACGTAATGTAGGGGCCTTTCATAATAACCTATGTATACTATTTTGGGGGTTCCTTATTGTAATTATGGTATAATGGGCCCCAAAACCCTATTCTGATTATTAAGGCCCGTATATTAGAAGCCCTAAACCGTGGCTCAACTTGGCTGCTTACTCGAGGACGACGCCTGGATCTCAATTGCCCGACGATTGCTCTGAAGTCAGCGGGGAGACGAACGAAGAGGATTCCCAGTCGAGTGCAGAGCTGTAAAAGGCAGCCAGCGGGCTATCACATTGCCCTAGCATTCATCACTCTTTCCGGGTATAGGCATAGGTGCAGAAATAACTGTAAGGGGCCCTCGAAGGAAAAGGAAGGGATTTGGGCAGGCTCAGGAGATACTGCTCATTGTTCAGGTCAAAGTACACAATGGTTGTTGTGTTGCTTCGGCTGCAGAGGCCCTATTTATGGGGGTAACAATGCTAGCATGTTCCGGACTGACTGTGCAGCCATGTGGGAGGACAGCCGTCTTCCGCACTCTCTAAGCATTGAGAGTGCAACACGCCTGCGATCGCCGAGTCGATAGGACTCCCGACCTTACAGGCCCCTCTGCAGCGAAGACAACGGAGCAAGAAGACGCGGAGTTTCCCAAAGGGTCCAAGTATCATCATGATATATACTTAGAGGGTATTTCGGGGGTCTAAGTATAGACCATAATGGTACTTGGACCCTTTGGGTTTGTGGGGATTAGACGTATGCGCATGCCAGGGATATATAGCTGGGGCTGGGGATATATAGCTTGCTGATAAGGCCTCAGGTCACGTAGCTGTGTTTGTTGCGAACACTCGGCTTTACATCAGCGGTGCAAGTTTCTGCACACCAAGCGAGGACGCAGGTTAGTTGCCCTAAACCCTAAGCCGTAAATTCTATCGGAGAGTTCGATTCCGAGGACGCACCGTGCTCAGGCAGACGTACACTTGTTGACTTGAGTGCTATCGAGTCAGCGACAAATTTCAGGACTTTAGGACGTTCAAGGCCCTTTAGTCTCGGCTCCCTACAAACTTCTGTACCCTAAGCCCTAGCGCTAGCATGGATCCTTGAAGAAGAAGCAGTCCTCCTAACCCATGAACCCGAGGAACTAACTAGCGTGAGAACTCTGGATACGAAAGCTGTAGAGGTCCTAGTAGATATTGTGATGACGAAAATGAACGGGGTGATGAGAGTAGTATCAGGTACCAATGACCGTTACACAACTGGTAACAGCACTTGTACTCACACGGAGAGGCAGAGCCTAAGACGCGCAACGATGACATGCAGGTAACCTGGATACCCGTGCGGACCGGAATCACGAGTAAGAGTTACTAATATGAACAAGGACCATCAGTTCTTTGTTGCTTCATAATGTTACGGATGCGGATCATAACGTCTCCTTTGTTGCCATGATTCCGCAACACTGCGCTTTCTAAGGCACGGGGCTTCAAGCTGCTGAGAGTGCCTTGAGGAGTCTACCGCCCCACCGCAGGCGCGCCATGTTGGGTTTCTGGTTAGGCTACCTTGCCTTCCAACTTTTGGGTTTCAGGCTTCTGGGGCTTGTGTGTTTGTTTTTTGTTGGGGGGGTCAGGGTATTGTTATGCTTCTCTGGTTCAGAATTGTGCAGGGCGTCTTGGGGTGTTGGGCGTTGTTTCCTTGACGGCTGAGGTGATTTGTGGGTTTGTTTCATATTCGGCTTCTGCGGTTCATTCATCTCTAAATCAAGCACCCTATTCTGGGTATCAGGTATTAGCAGATTAGGATACGTTGACTAGGATACGTTGATTCAGCCCCTCGGTGTCCTTCGCGCTATACCTGACCCTCTTACTTCGCATGAAGTACGTAAGGTACAAAGGCTTCTTTGGAGTCTTGGCGAGCGTATCCGTGGGTGTCCCTTTGGTCCAAAACAGAAGCTGTGCATCATGGCATTGGGTCTAGGGTTGAGGGTTTAGGTTTGAGGGTTTAGGTGTTAGCTAGTGTTTGGGGTTTAGGGTTTAGTGTGAGTGCAAAGAGGGGTTCTGGGACCTAGAGTAAGCCCTTATTCCCTTTTTGTAGGGTTGAGGTTCCCTTATATGCCCCCTTAAATCAAAAAGGGCACCCTTTTTATTCCCAGGTTACTCTTGGGTCTAGGGTTAGAGGTGGATATGTCTGACCAAACGACTTTTCGGAAAGCCTGCAGCTCCACACTCCTCCTCACACCTAGTTCAATCCGACACCTGCTCTCAAATCTAGCCGAAATCCAACCAAAAGAACTGACTGACTACAGAACCTTCCGGAAGCTATGATCAATAAGAGAAGCAGCAAAGCAACACACTGACCCCTGAGCCTTTAGTCCTAAACCCTCGACACTCTCCCTGGAGGCTGCGCGTGCTCGATGCAGGCTGTGGCAGTGGAGGGCAGCCTCCTGGCTTTATCTTACAGGGGAGTTTCCGAAAATAGGGAGACCCTAATACATAAATAGTGGGATCCTTATTATAAGGACCCCCAAAATAGGGTACCCCAATTTTCGGAAATTCCCATCTCGAAGCCTACCCTAAGGGTCCATGTGCTCATATAGCATATACTTGGGGCCCCAAAGTACCTGAGAGGGACTACATTAAGGCCAATGCATATGTTGTTTAGGTCCATGGACCCTTAAGGCTCCATGATTACTTTCGTAGAATTCCCGACTGCGAGTATGTATAATGCATACCAGAGACCTGCTCTAATGATTAAGGTCAGACTTTCAATGCCTATGGGCTTAGGATCCAGCTACTTCCAACGTAAGATCCCCACCGTGTTTTCACGCTGTTTGGGGAACAGAACCAAGGGCAGCAATACTAGTTGGACTAACTGATACTTTGAGAGTAGCAACGTAGGGCCAACCCTGAACCCTAAACCCTAAACTTACCTTTGGCTAGTAGGGAATGGAGGAATGCGGTACATTACTACCATTCTTCAATTCCCTACTAACCAAAGGTAAGTAAACCCACCTTACCGATTCGTTTCCCAGTTCCCCCTTGAACCCCAGCATCCTAGAATCCTGAACTCTCAGCCATTTCACCTATACTGTTAGATCACGCCTAAACACCAAGGCCCCTAGAACTTAAATTGAACCCCTAAAACACCCCACAAGCTGAACTAACCTCCATCACTGAATCTTCATACGGCCTGCATTTGGCCCCAAACTCGGTAGTTAACCTCGACAACCTCATCCCCCAAATCCTGTAAATCCTTTACTTAAACCGTTTGGGTAACCTGTTCGCTAAAGCCATGATAGCCGAATCCCACAGGCTCTTGGAAATTTATGCCCTCGCACAACGACAAGGCGAGGGCTGACGGGAAGTGGAGCACTACCTAAAGCATCATGGGACTTAGTACTCAGGGTCGTGCAGAGGGCCCACAACCCTAAGCTCAAAATTCAAAGGCTGAGGCGTAGGGCTTAGGCTTAAAGGTCATCAGGTTTAAGTTATAAGCTTCAAGCTGGCTTAAGGGCTTCAGTAGAGGGGCGTTTCAGGTTCAGAGTTTGAGCTCCTGGATTCAGGGTTCCGGATCTAGGATTTTGGGTTTTGGTTTGGGGAGAAGCATGTGGTGCACGGGGGGTGTGCGGTTTCAGGTCGTATGGTTGCGGCTCAGGTAGTATTGTCAGGTTTAGGATTTGCCTTTGCTTGCAGTTTTGTTGGATGGGTGTGGAAATGGAGTAGGTGAGTAGCACGGAGTTGGCATCTGTGGAGGGAAGGATGGTCCTGCGATTTACATCTGAAGGTTGCAAGATGGCAGGGGCGGAGCAAGAAGAGTAGCACCCGTGCTGAACATGAACAACCCTGCCGACCTACCAACCCACTACCTACCAACCTATATAGTAACCGCCCGCCCGATCGCCCACCCGTCTACCCATCTATCTTTGCACAACGTTGAGTCACGTGCAGGGGTGCCCGTCTACCTCCGCGGCGTGACCGCCGAAACCAATCCAGTTCCTGATCAGCTGCGCGACAAGGTGAGCGGATGCATAACGATTTCAGCTGAGAGTCAGGGCTTAGAGCCTCGTGAACTACATCAAAATAAAGCAAGGACCAGGTGACTGTTTCGGGTTTGCCTGTTATGGGAGTTTCCGAAAACAGGGGACCCTAATATAGTACCCTAAATAGTAGGATCCTTTTTTACAAGGAACCGCTAGTTTCGGAAACTCCCTTATGGATTGTTTGGTGCTACAGCGTCGGATCTCTGAATTCGCAGTAAAAAATCCGAGATTATCGCATTTCCTGGAAGTTCCTCACGACCAAGAGAGTAGATTGATTCTAAACCACAAAGGCAAGGTCTGCGCTAAGGGTACCATGAGGGAGTCGTGGTCGAACACCTGTAAGCCTTGAAAAAAGCATTTTATCAACATTAATGAACAGAAGCCCTCAAAGTCCTAGCTCCCAAACTCAGAACACCCTCAGAGCCCTACCCTAAACCCCACACCCTCAATGCTCCTAACCCTAAACCTTCAAAGTCCTATCTCCAGATGGCTGGTTGTCAAAATGTGGTTCCTTTTTGGGTGCCGTACTAATATTTAGGGTACCCAACCATAAAGGGGCCCAAATTTTGACAACCACCCAGATAGGTCGTTAACCTGCTGGCTCCTCCGGAGAAGGTCGTGGAGGCTTGTGGCAAGCGTTGGCAAGTTGCGGTTTGAGTTGCGAAAATGCAAGCTCAAGCACTAAACCCTATATGGGGTTTATAATAATAGGGTTTAGGTTTACGATGCTGGCGATGCGGGAATATGGACTTGTATGCAAAGAATGAGGTCTTCAAAGGTTTGGTGTTCGGAGTTGAAGTGAGGGCGTGTACATTATAGCGCATTATTATATGGTATATACTGATGTCTCGTACGTAGTTAGCGTGTGGGTGTCTACAAGAGGGCTCACAGTCTGGGGTCTCATATGGTGGTGGGATCCGCGGTTTTGGGGTCTTCGAGGTTTAGGGTACCGGTGGCTTGGTTTCCCTTAGGGTTTTAGGGGAACCTTGCAGCCCGTTTGGATGGTGGACTCCGGCCACCCCCCCCAGCCTGACCAAAAACCATAACGTCATGGATTCGCCCCAGCGATCCAGTATCGTTCATCGTTCTGATTACGCTCGAAAGGGCCAGTACACTAGCTGGGTCCTTACGGGCATTAGGGTAACGTTCGCATGACCCTAAGGGTCCATGTGCTCATATAGCATACACTTTGGGCCCAATGTACCTATATAGGGAGTACTTTAAGGCCAATGTATATACTGTACGAGTACGTGGACCCTTAGGGTGAGGGTTAATTCATTTTGGGTTGACCCTCTGCCGCTGCCTCTGTAGATGCAGCACCTCCGCAGAAGCGAGAGTCTTGTCTTACGATGCATGTGCACCCTGCTCAGCTCCTAAACCCTAAACCCTGCTGACGAGCACTTTTCCAACTAGAGTTGGCGGTCGTCAACTGGTGGGAAAGGCAAAGTTCCTGCGTCAAAGGTAAGCAGCAAGTAATAAAATTGATCGTATACATGGCTTCTTTGTGATACCTATTGTGGTTCATACATTTCCGGGAAGTGTTAGGCCTGGCAAGTAGGCCAGCATGTGCCAGCGAACCAACATACCTGGGCCAGATATTTGTCATAAACGCCTTTGATAAGTGTCTCGCTCCTGAAAGCTGTAACCGAATCCCCGTTCATCCCTTAACCCACCAAACCCCTAAACCCTTATACCTAACCAGAAGCAACAGCAAAGTCTCAAAGTTCTCTCTCCAAGCCCGTTCCCGCCGGTCTTCCAGGAACCTCTCGCCGACGATCTGGTGGACATGAAGTTGTTTCAGGCCAGAGGGATTAATGTAGCGACCTTAATACTTAGATTTTTTTGTTTTTTTTTTTGGGGGAGGGGGTCCTTATGAGAACTTTAGTCTAACATATCCCCAGACCCGATTCTAATGCCTACATTGCGGTTTAGGGATTTAGGGCTCGGGATGAGGTGTCTATTTAGCGTTTAGGGACTATGGCTTTCAGGGCTTACGGTATTTCGGTATATAGGCTTTACTCCAGGGTTTCAGGCGTAGGGCAGATCCAGCAGAAGGTAGAAGCCTGTGCTTTTGAGAGTGGCTGCTACTGGAGTAACTGGTTTCCAAAGCATGCTGTTTCTGGAACGTCAATGATCATCTTATTACCTCACCTGTTGGTTCACTGTCTCTGTCTGTCCATGCCAGAGCTACTTCTTATGTCATCTTACGCTCATCCTTAGAAATGCTTGTCAACTGTCACTTCCGGAACAGACAGCCATGCCGAAGCACTTGCATGAGCAAAGCTCGGCTCAGGTGGTCGTGTGGCCAGCATCATATGGATGGTTGTCAAAATGATGGCCGCTTTTGGGGCACCTTAGATATTAGGTGCCGTATTATAATAGGGACCCAAAAAGGGGCCATAGTTTTGACAATCACCCATATGCCTAAACCTGCCCTGAACCCTAAGTCGGCAAGCCCCTAAGCTTCCAGCCGCAAGTCTTCCGGACTCCTCCCGCAGATGCCTTTCGACCTGCGTAGCTTACGAGTTTGGTTGTCGTAGCAAGCAGTCCCAAGAAGTACGCGCGAATTGGCAGGACTAGTTATAAACGCTGATTTCTACGCAAAGCCCTAAAGCCTACGTAAATACCCTAATCCCCAATCCCTAAATGCTAGAATTCTGAGTGGTCGTGAGACTCACATCACTTTGAGAATCACTCGCAAACAAAGCCTCACAAGGGTGAAGGGTTGGGGGTTCAGGGCTTGCAGTTTCAGGGTTGAGGGCCCAGGGTTGGCAGCGAAGGGTTGAGAGTTTAGGGTTGAGGGTTTAGGGTTCAGGGTTTAGGGTTTATAAGGCTTAGGGTTTAGGGTGGTTGAGGGTTCAGGGTTGAGAGATTCGGGTTTGGGGTTCAAGTTCATTGTCAGGGTCCTTCAGATTCAGAGTCTTCATGACAGTAAACCCCGAATATATGGGAGTTTCCGAAATAGGCTACACTTTTTTACCCTAAATGGTAGGATCCTTATTAACAAGCCCAAAACAAGGTACCCCTAATTCTCGGAAACTCCCATCTTCGGTCGCGCCCAGAAGGGCTCCCCCAAAAGGACTCACACCCGACAACATCAAGGCCAGTCACCCTAAACCCGAGTAAAACCCTAAACTTACCAGGACCCTCCTTGTACCCTCAAATAGGGGTACATGGTCCCACATAAGAGGCATTTAGGGTCTAATAGAGGGTAGATGGAGGGTCTAGGTACCCATAGGCCCCATGGTAGTTCCTTTTTGGGATTACCTTATAGGATTTTACATATGAGCCCCCAAGAAAGAACTACTATAGGGCCTATAAATAAAACCCTGAAGCCTAAAACCCAGAGCCTCGGAAGCGATAGAATTCTCTGGTCAGGGCTTTCCCCTGGAGAACCTGAAGGAAGTCGACGCTGCTGATTTTATCCGGGAGGGAATTGAGTTCGATCTCATCCTCTGTTCTTGGACTCTGGGTGGCCCTTAGCAGGCTTCGGTTTTTACCGGATTAGGGGTTTAGGGCTTAAGAGGTTAAGAATTTAGGTTCGTTTTTGTTGTCATCCATTAAAGGGATGACTATCTTGGGAGCGGACATCTCCATTAACTACAAATGTCTCCGAACGCGGAGGTCGATAGCTAGCCGTCAACACACAGCGTTACCGCAGCGTATCCTGGATTCCCAGCCCTTGCCCTAAAGCCCACCTGGAACGCCTTGGTTGCCCCTTTTTAAGGTCAACTATTGGAAGTGCCCCATAATGTTGATCACCGTGGCAAAGTGCACCATAATTGTGATCACTTTTGGTAGTTGCTGCAAATGCAGTTAATCTGCTTGAACCCCTTCCAAAAGCTCCGAGATCAGCCTCTGCCAAGCAAGGGGCCGTGCTGGATCAGAGCCCACTTACAACAGGCAGGGTTTCTTAGCAGGCTTTTGCAGGGAAATCGATAGGACAAATCAGGTTTTGAAAGGCTTGGGTAGAATAGAAAAGGTTACGTAAAGGTTGCACACTACTGGTACTCTTTTGGTTGTAGCATAAACTAATACAACTATAGGAATCGTTCTGGGGTTTCCCGTGTGCAAGCACGCTTTTCCATTGCGCCAATGGCGAATGTCGCTGGCTGCAGCATTACCTTAGAGGACCGTACACAGAGATCCCATTGTAAGTGCATTTCTGACATCTGTCTGCTTGTGCAATCATAGCATGTTGGAAGTTTCTGCATGAAGCTTCATGGTGGGCACTGCCCATTGTAGTTCTACAAGTGTGCATGCAGGATCTGCAATGGGTGGATCTCTGGTGTCGCACATCAAGGTCCTTCCCTGCTCGCTTAAGGTGGTGTCGGAACATATAGAAGCGGGCATGTCGTTCATTGAGTGATTCGCAGAGCATTTTGCACTTCAAGGACGTGTGGGGATAGCACGTGTAGCAATGGCTGCGCAGCCATTGGCCACCCTTTTCGAGAAGGATAATTTCATTAAGAAGCGGTTCAGGAAGAAGGGTTACTTTGTCGATTTCCCGCCACGTCGGGCCGCGGGAGGAGATGACGATGATGAGGATGCGAAAAAGGAGAACCCGATAAGTACGAAAGCGATGGAGCTGAATGTCCATGCTTTGAAGGTGATGTTTTCCTTCTACAAGGTGACAAGTGGTAAGAGAGTTCCCATCCAGAAATTGGAAGCAGCAGCCACTTGCCCAGTTACATAGAAACAAATTCGTATACTATATATAGCATACAACTAAACGAATTCAAGTAGTTTGCTTGCTAATGGGTGTAGCTTGACAAGGTGAAGAAACTGTACGACAATGTCGGATGCGAACCCAATCCCAAGCTCGGCGACAAGCACTTTTACCTTGACGCATGGGATTTACGGCGGCTTTATTCATTTGCTTTGCGAAGGGAGAACGATGCCCGGAAGAGAGGGCAGAGACCTCGGGATTCTCTTCAGTGAATTATGTACATATAGTGGTTTAAAGTTGTATCATAATTTAAGTATGGCCCCCTCTATATGGTGTAAATTCCTAAGAGTTCTGAGGCACAGGCTGTTCGGGAACTCTTTGAGATCATCAAGGCGTTGCGGGATGAGTGCGATGAGGGTAGTGCCGGTGATGATGAGGAAGGCGAGGGCGAAGAGGAGGAGCAGATGGAAGATGATCCCGTTGATGAGGTTCCGGAGGTAAGTGATAGCGCTGTTCCGGGTTCAAGTGAGTCTGCAGATCCTGCAGATAAGAAGGACAACGGTGGTGGTGTCATGGCTGCCTTAGCGGATATGGAGTTCGATCCCACGGAAGACGCCCAGGCCCCGATGTTTCGTTACAGGTCGAAGTCTACCTTGCACTCTTTGCCGAGCACGGCTGTTCTGGGCGCCTCCGTTGCAAGCCCGGGGTCCTACAAGGATGCATTGACCGGGAGCAAGGAAGAGGAGTTGCAGAAGCTGCTTGAAGAAATCAGTCTCCTCGAGACTGGTGAGGCTAAGCATCCGGATACGGCCCGCCACGATGCCCTGCTCCTCATGATGGGATCCCCAACCCGACCTTCAACTGCCCGAGGCCTCGAGATTCGAAACTTACATGACACGTATCAAGCCTTTCTAAGAGATTTCAATAACATGTATAGAAACGATCACTATATATGTCCCCAACAACAGGAACCGATGAGCCACCACCGACCTGCAGAAAGAAGCTCTTCGATGATGAACCAGCTTGGAAGATGCCTCCCGACCAGGCCAATGCAGGGGTTTATCGATGTGAACATCGTACAGATCTCTAGGGCATGTATGGCACCTTCAATGCAGTATGAAATGATTCTACATGTACACATATCATGCAAGACTCAGTGTGCGAACGGATGTGCACACATCCACTCTGGTTTTCAAGAAATGTGTGTGCCTATCTATCTATCTATCTATCTCTCTATCTAATTCTATCTATCTATATCTATATCTACCTATCTATATAACTATAGGACAAAGGAGCCAAGCAACAACAACTATATATGCTAATCCAATACTATGTGACTGTAGAACTAGAACGAATAAGCGAACTGGTGTAATCAATAGGAAAGTGGGTGACTTATCCGGATAATAGGTGGGACAGGCCCTCGAAATCGGAGTTGAGAGGCTGATGGTGCCCTGTTCCGGAGGTTTTTTTAAGTGCAATGGTTTAGGCTGGGTTGGGACTTCAGGCAGCTTGCTTCTTTGCTACAGTGATCTATATATGTGTGTTCTTATGTGTGAATCAGTGAAATAATGCTAGCTTTGTGGTTTCTGCCAGGCTGACACATTCGTGCACGCAGAACCTGGTGCGGTTGGGCCAACGAGTGGGGCGATCGTGCCAGAAGATGCAGCGGGGCTTCACGGAGACAAGGTTGGGCCTCGAGTGGGTGAGGCGATCGTGCCAGAAGATGCACCGGGGCTTCATGGAGGCAAGGTTGGGCCTCCCGTGAGCGAGGCAATCGATGTGGATTCGAGTCCGGAGAAGATCAAAGCGGACTGGGTTTTGTAATTCGTGGTAAATTTATTCCGTGTTGCTGTGCTTTATAAATGTTTGGGGTAGCAGTAGCATTTCCACACAGGAGCCACAGTCCCCGACAGCGGCCAAAGATCAAGTGGTCCAGCCGGTTTCTCTAGAGGCTCAGAACCAGCTTCGGGCCACGCTTCGAGAGAAGCTCCGTCGTGACCGTGGTGGCAAGGGTCCTAAGGGTGGCAAGAAGGCTGCCACGGCGAGAAAGACCAAGAAGGGCGAGGTGGGCTCTGGTGAGAGCTCGCATGATGATGAAGGTGCTGGAGAGGCACCGCAGGTGGCATCGAAGCGCAAGCGTGCAAAGGCACCGCGGGCGGCATCGAAGTGCAAGCGTGATGAAGGTGATGCGGAGGCACCGCCGGTGGCATCGAAGGGCAAGCATGATGAAGGTGCTGTGGAGGCACCGCCGGTGGCATCGAAGCGCAGGCGTGGGACTTGCGACAGTGAGCCTGTTGCCTCGCCAAAGGCGAAGGCAAAGGCAAAGGCAAAGGGGAAGGGGAAGGCGAAGTCCGAAGAGAAGTGCACGGCCTCGCCAAAGGCGTCGCCAAAGGCCTCGCCAAAAGCCAAGGCGAAGGCAGGTGCCAAGGCCAAGGCCAAAGGGAAGCCAAAGAGTGCGGCGGTTGACAGCGGTGTGGCTCTGAGGCTGAAGCCCGATCCCAGCCGAAACGGCTACTCCGAGTGTGGCACCCTTTTGTTGGGATGCTCGAGCTGCCGATGGGGTCCGCTTGGTTGTGGCACGTGCCTTCGTGTGAACTTCCACGGTGTTCGCTGGAATCGTGTGGCATGCGGAGACTGGGAGTGATGAGCAGTCCAGATCGGTCGTACCTCCAGTTGAGTGTGTGTGCAGGCTGTTTATACCATGATCTTGATCCGGATCAGTCTCTTCGGCATGCTGCATGCCTTTGCTACATGCAGCCTTCTTCGGGGCTGCTTAATGATTTCCGTGGCTGCTGCGAGCTATCAGCTACATGTCTGTTCTTCTGTGCATCACCTCGGTGATGTTTTGCAGTTTTGCAGGGCAAAGCCTTCGGTGGGCACGGGTAGGGGCGGCTGCTGTCGTGCTAGAAGATGCATGTGGTATGAGTATGCATATACAGTATGTATAGTCGCTCTTTTGCTATTCTACTTGTACACTGTCATCCATATACATATAATGTGCCTCAAAGTATCTACGATATCTTTAGCTTGTGTCGCAATACATTGTTTTAACATGGCTGTTTATGTAGAACAAGTAAAACCGCATGTTTCTCAATCTGGACTTATGCCGTCGTCAGGTTACACAGGTACATGTGCACATGTTAAAGCATGTTCTTTCAGGGTTGGATGACAAACATGTATAGAGATCATAGGTAAGTAGGTGGACTGAGATCTATATAGAAAAGACGGAGCGCTGATTCTAAGTATATGCAACGGTGCGACGGTGGGAAAACTGCATACTTATACTGGGCTTAGAGGTCATCGTGGCAGCATCGTCCATAGAACCTGTGCCTTATCTCCGAGGGATCTTATGCAGTGGGGATCTGCTTCATGAGCTTCTCGACCTATGTGCTGCAAAAATGGATCGAGTGAGTGAATGCTCTCTGCATGAAACATAGGTGCAACCGTCTGTGCTGCAAGCATAACCTGACACGATAGCCCGTGCTTGCACCAACGGCACCAACCAAGCGATGTCTTAGCCAGGTTCTTTTTCAACATGCTCGATGAGTACTTCGTGGAGGCTGCGGCATCGAATCGATGAGGGGCCCAGTGCAGGTTCGCCCCGCTCGCCGCAGCATGCAGCACCTGTCGGGGTTGAGTCAGTGCCGAGCTTGACACACAGCTGTTCCCACAATTGTGTTGCCATGCTGAAGCATCGTGCTCGAAGTGTTATGTGCATGCTGCACGGGTTCCGTTCTGTGACATGGCACCACATGAGCTGGATAGCCTCCTCTGCCGGCTTTTGGAAATCAATGCTCCAGGGGTGCCTAGGCGAGATCTGGATAGGAACACAATATAATTTCTACACGAACTTAAGACTTAAGGCTTCTGCTGCTCTCCTTGAGGTTCTATTGTGTGCCATAGTGCTCCTCGTCTTCAACACCAAGATTGACTTGGTCAAGGCAGGGTTTATTCGGTTTGTTCAGTTAGCAGTTATAGCCTTTTATACATCTCATGAAGAGCCTCGCCAAGCCTCGCCAACAGATGCTCAAACAAACCTAGCCTTTCGGCCAGGTCTATGATGCAATGGAAGTGTTCGCTGGAGTGGCTTCTTTATCGAGGTGCCTCTCGATGTCTGGGCTTTGTGTGGCAGCCCTGGAAATCAGGTTTTGGGATGCTATTGCAAATGAGCCGGGGTATGATCGATCTACACGTAACCCGATGGATCTATGCACTCCTGCAGGAATGGCGCTTC